ATTCTAGAATGAAATAGGCATAATTTATATTTATTTCCTAATTTTTTATGGTGCTTGCAAGATCGGTCAAAACTACCGAACCTGTACAGAGATTCGTTACTAAAAATAACAGATAAAATACAAAGTTTTTTTCTTAAGAAACATTTGATAACTATCTAGACATTATAAAGATTTCGCATGTGAAATTTGAAGATTTTCTGATGCGTAAAAGTATTTTTAATCTTAAAATGAAAATTACTTTGCATGATAGATAGGCAAGATGTGAAAAAAAAAGGCCTGAAAGAAACATTGCTTTACAAACCTTAAGACTTAATGAAAAAAAAAATTTATAATGTTTACTGATAATCTGCCAAATTTCGTTAACATTTGCTTAATAATTTAAATGTTATAGCATGAAAACTATAACAAGCACAAAATGGTCACAAGGTCAGTCCCAGGGACCAAACCCGTGCTGAAAGAGTTAAACAGATTAATGAAAGAAACAGACAATCTGAATCGCAGAATTCAATGCACTGACCTTCAAACACACAAAGCTACAAGGGATTTTGCAACAGATTAAATTCCAAGTACACCATGCCTACTCCTGACAAAATTTCTGTTTTGAAACTCAATGTTCGACATTATTGTAAGCAGTGTAGCTTCGAAGAGAGGTTTTAGTGTTTAAGTTTGTTAGTAAGAAGTGGAGAAACACGATTATGTACAGATGATGATAACAGTGGAGGGGTTGCCTGAGTGGCATCCCCTATCATCATCGATACACAATCGTTTAAATGCAGTGATTACAGTTGCATGTGCCAAAGTTTAAACAAATATAATATTGGATACCTCTATATCTAGATGTATAATCAGAAAAGACAGAATAATTATCTAATCCAGTTTGTTGATACAAACTTTCCTTATACACAGTTCTGAGTAGGCCAACATTCTAAAAAAATCTGCTTGTAGAAGTTAACATAAAAGTTTCCTGTTTTTCACCAATTCAGGGTGTTTTTAATTGATGATTTATAAACTTAACTGGATTTACTAAAAGCTTAGGAACAAAATTGTTTTTCAGCTGACTATTACTGATTATATATAAATTACTTTCTTTTTAAATGTATTTCTTATATTAATCCTTATTAACTATGTTGCAAGAGGTAGGTTTAATAACTACATTGTGAGTTGTTGATTTAATAATGACATTGCAAGGGGTAGTCTCAATAACCACATTGCAAGAGTTTCTTTTATAGTCACATTGCAAGGGGTAACCATAATAACCACAATGCAGGAGTTGCCTTATTTATATAACTACATTACAAGGTGTTGCCTTATTTATATAACTACATTACAAGGTGTTGCCTTATTTATGAAACTACATTACAAGGTGTTGCCTTATTTATATAACTATATTACAAGGTGTTGCCTTATTTATGAAACTACATTACAAGGTGTTGCCTTATTCATATAACTATATTACAAGGTGTTGCCTTATTCATATAACTACATTACAAGGTGTTGCCTTACTTATATAACTATATTACAAGGTGTTGCCTTACTTATATAACTATATTACAAGGTGTTGCCTTATTTATATAACTACATTACAAGGTGTTGCCTTGGCACTGGTGGTGCAACGGCTATGCTAAAAACATGAAATGGTAAAGGATTTGTTTTTCTTTAAATTGCAATTATATATAATTTATGAAATGATTTTACAATTTTTTACTCTAACGAAAATAGCTTTATTTGTTTTGTTTCTGTGAAAGACATTATTGTCATTTGTGAAAGCTTAATGGCTATCAAATGTTTGTTAGTGACAAGATAGTTATTTGTATATGAATATGAAAAAGGTTCAAAGAGCCAACCGGCCTCTTCCCACCTATTTCTGAGTTATTAACCAAATGTAAACTTGTGTAGTTTTTCTCATTTTCGGTCTTAGTAATTTATGGTTTTTATAGTTTAATATTTTTAAAGTCCTCTAATCTATTTCACAGCTCTGAAGCTTCTTAAGATTCACAACTTTCACACATCAACTGATAGCTAATAAAGTTTATTTAAAAAAACCTTTCTTTTTCTTACTTAAGTAATACTGTGTTGAAGCAAATTTAAACAAAAGTGTTGTTTGTTTTCATTGATTTTGTATGTGCTTTGGAAATAACTTTCTTAATTGCATTCTTCTATTAAGAGTGTAGCCCATGATTAACATGAAGGACTGTGGTTTGTGTTTTTCTCTTATCAAATAAGATAGTGCTCTGACTATTGAAACGTGGGTGCCTCTCCCACCCATAAAACGTTTTAAGCACAGTGTTCAACTTAAACTTTGGTCTTTTCTCTCGTTAAAACCACTTTTAGATCATTCCTGATCTGCTTAAGATAACCTTTTGTCACCACCCAATTTCATAAAGAGTTTTGATTCTTTGGATTTTAATATCAAAACTATAAATTAAAATATTTTATTTTTCTTTAGAATTTGTTATGTATCCATTATACAAGTGATTTTCTCAAATGCGTTTACTTATGTTCTTAGGAAGATCAGATGGACATTTATATTGGAAACATAAGTAAGGAATTGAGCCGTCGTTTCGCCATCTGGTGGCTTGTTCAATGGTCCTTCAAACTTGCAAGGTAAAGTTCCTGTATTTTATTTTAAAGTATGATTTTTTTTGTTATCATTTTATGGTGCGTTTTCTTGACTGTTCTCATTCTACAATATTTTTTGTACTAATTGTTTTGTGGGCATAAGGTATGAATAGTTTTATTGTGACAATCATGATTTATTTTTCTGTCGTATTCAATTGTTTTCGGGGTTAAATTTCCATTTTTGACAACTGGGAAAAATTTAACTGTTGTGTTTTCTATTCTATTATTGAGCTACTTGAGGATGGTTTAAAAGAAAAATTGTCAAAAGACTTCTCCAGAACAAATTTAATCATGTCATAAAGACCAATTGCCTCTTGAGTTTTGTCTCGTATGTTTCTATTAAACTGTGTTTATTAATTTTGACATGAATCTTTATGTCCATTCAAACCTGCTGTGGACATTTCAAGGTTACTGAATCTGAGCCATAAAAAGAGTAAATACAAATTTGTTCTAGAAGGTGCAGTGTTCCTTGAAATATCTCGCATCTCTTCCCTTGTGTTTAAAATAAGTTGTGTTAACTTAGAAATAATCGACCTGTTTTTATTACAGTTCGGTACATCATGTTGAGTAATTATGTTTTTGCCTATTACAACACTCAATGAGAAGAACTGACCAAAACACAAAATTGAGTAAAATCATTCATGTTCTATGTGAAATATAAAGAAGACCCCAGGGCCTGCGATATTGACAACATATTTTTTACATTTTGTTTATGCTACTCGTATGTTATTAGGGGCCCTATAACCATAAAGGTTGTGTTTAAAAAGTTAATAACATCCCCCATTATTAGTTCTGAGAGATACGAAGTTATCAGAGTAACAGTAAGCAATTATAATTTAATACAAGCGTGCAGGGTCCATATATTGCATCCTATTAAATTTTAGGTTTTTGTGCGTTACAACATTGATTGTAAAGAAATAATTCTAAAATCTGGTGAAATCATTCATTTTCTGGATAAAATACATAGGGATCCTAGCATTAATCGGGAACTACTTGTTACAGTATTGATTGTAGTTTAGTAACCAACAACTTCGTAGACCTACCTACAAGTAAATAGTGCACAAATAACCTAGGGAAATTGTCTTTAGGATACAAATGGGGCTTAAGTGTACCCCACTGGTAATTCAGGGGTAAAGCATGTACTATGTTTTTGCTATGATAATGTTCTTTGTTAGTATTTAGATGGGCCATGGGTCGATTTGCTGACACTTTACCATAGCCAAATATTTACATAAGCCTATTTGCTGGCACTTTACCATAGCCAAATATTTTCATAAGCCTATCTGCTGGCACTTTACCATAGCCAAATATTTCCATAGGCCTATTTTCTGGCACTTTACCATAGCCAAATATTTCCATAGGCCGAGTTGCTGGCACTTTACCATAGCCAAATATTTCATAGGCCGATTTGCTGACACTTTACCATAGCCAGATATTTCCATAGGCCGAGTTGCTGGCACTTTACCATAGCCAGATATTTCCATAGGCCGAGTTGCTGGCACTTTACCATAGCCAGATATTTCCATAGGCCGATTTGCTGACACTTTACCATAGCCAAATACCAAGGTATACTGGTTCAACTGTTTATTGATCTATAAGACTAGTTTCCTATGTACGGTAAAGAGCCACCTACTCAAACCTAACAAAGACTAAGGAAAACTGGTTCAACTGTTTATTGATCTATAAGACTAGTTTCCTATGTACGGTAAAGAGCCACCTACTCAAACCTAACAAAGACCAAGGAATACTGGTTCAACTGTTTATTGAACTATAAGACTAGTTTCCTATGTACGGTAAAGAGCCACCTACTCAAACCTAACAAAGACCATAGAATACTTTATTTTGACCAAACAATCTTTATTTGTTTTGGTGACCAAATTGTCCCTATCCTACAATTTTAAACCATGTTATATTCTTAGATGCATGTGTAAGTTAAGATCTAATTATTTTGCAGTCTGAGTCTCAATTTCATAATCAGATTCTAGAATTGTACTTCGTTATGATTTTAATTGATTTTTGCTGGTCAACATTGTTTTTAATTCATTTATGCTGGTCAACATTGTTTTTTGTCAGGTACATTGTAACTTCAGTTATTGTATTATGGCTGCTAGCTCATTCATTTCAAATAATTCCACAGCTGCTGTTGAATCCTGCATTCTGTGAAGCAGTCATTCATATCATGTGAATCGAAGCCTCTAGAAGTGAAGAGAAAAATCACAGTTATAAAATGGACTATTTCCAAGGAGGCGAGTCATAGTTTTATGTATTTCTACCTATAAACTGTACTTTCTGTTAATCATATAGCAGTATCATCACTGAATTTGTTTTAATTTCACTTGAAAATAGTAATAGAAAAAAATTTTTAATTACTAACATTTTAAAAGTATTTCTGATACAGTTAACTGTAGCTGTATTTTGAATTAGGTTCTGGATGTTCAAATGTGTGTTCTGGACCTGATTAATTACTTTGATTACTCTCGGAAATGAGCCAGAACTAACTTCTAGTAAAGAAGCGTTAGTTTTTTCCTAGTCTTGAAAGTAATAGTATCATAACATAGTAATGACACAATAGCATGTGTGTTAGGATCAGTATTCCATTGGCTTATCTCCTGCTGTTATTCTAATATATATGATTAAGCATTATTAATCAAGAAACTTAAGCTAGTAAAGGAAGCTTGAGTGAGTTTTAGCCAGTTAAAATATTCCTGGGAAATTTTGTGTAAGTATAAGTTCATGTGAACTGGTTAATGTATCTATACACAGGTTCATGTGAACTGGTTAATGTATCTGTATACACAGGTTCATGTGAACTGGTTAATGTATCTGTATACACAGGTTCATGTGAACTGGTTAATGTATCTGTATACACAGGTTCATG